TCTAACTTCCAAACAATTTCAAAACTTCAATAACGCAAACAATACTTATATTTCAAACTCCAGTAGCCACCAGCCATACATCCTTATATCTGGTCAGTAGAACGAAAGACTGTTAATCTCTATATACTATATATCAACATTTTGTCACTGCAAGGCCATGGCTGACATTAGCCATATTTTTATAGCAAACAGAAAGTAGCCAGTAAGACTGGCATTACTCAATGTGTTATAGAATATTGAGAACAAGAATGAACTATTTCTTGGTCAGTGAGTTTAGCACCACTCCCCATATAAAACTACTTCCCGGACACAAAAATAGAACAAAATCGCGCCTAGAACCGTGTTGAAAATGTAGACTGATGGGGGACTTGTCAACGGGGATGTTTGCCAGGTAATGAAGGAACCATTCCAATTGCTGGGGGTTGTTCTATTCTGTGTCTGCTCCATATCCTTTTCTGCATTTTTGCCTTGAGCCACCTTCCTGTCTACGCTAGACTTTGTTATAGAGATCTGCTTCCGGGGCAAATCAACAGAAGTTCTACGTTCTTCAGGTTCTTTGGCCTGCAAAAAGGAAACCAAGCTGAGTTGAGGACATAGCCTTTACAAAGCCTCAATAGAAGGGCATATATATAACGACTGAAGAGAAAAAAAAATAAAAAATAAAAAGAAGAAGACTTTCTTCATGTTCTCTGTCCAGCAGTTTTTACTTCTCTCACCTTGCTTTGCTGTAGTTTTATTTCTCTCAATTTGCCTACTGGTGGATATGTTCTTCTTCTTGTTCTTTCCTTTGTATAATATTCGTCGTCAGTCGCTAATTGTATACAATTAACGGAAAAGTTAAATGCATCTACATTGACAGCGGAAGTATCCCTTAAGACATTGATGGATCTTGGTTGTGGTCTCTGTGTTCTTTCAGATGTGCCAGACTGTAGTTGAAGCTCAGACGTCTGAGGTTGAGGTGCTACAAGGACAGGGGAAGCAGCCAGTCTGGATAACTGGTTATGAAGTATAACCTCTGTATCTCGCGTGGATGGACTCGAAGTAAATCCACCTTGCAAACGCACCTGAAAGAAAAATGTCCAAAAATATGAAAAAGTTTCCAAAGCCTATATTAAAAAAAAATGAAGCAAAGTTTCGACTGTTTGACCTGTGCAAACTATCAACACAGCACAAAATTTTTATTTTAATATCTATAGGAGAATATCATTAGAAAGGACTGTAATAATGTGAATGACAGGCACATTATTCACATTACTACAGC